ATTATAGTGATTATTGTATTAAGTGATGTTATTTTTTATTTGTATTATATCGATGATGTCGATTCTTATTAATAATATTTTCAATATATCGATTCCTCATGGATTGGTGAAAATATTTCAATGGTCGGCATTGATGCCAAGGGTCGATTAGATATCAACATGGACTACTTTGGCTACTATTGTTCCTGAAGTAACATGGTTCATATGGCATTAAATATTTATTCATCATTTTAATTGTTATACTTAAAGTACGTGAACTTCAAATAAATAATGTTGCCGTACTCTTTTAAAGGAATTCTTACATTTGTTAGTGAAATAATAAGTAATAATCACAGATATGAAAGCATATCGCCTTAGTATATATATATTTCTTACAGATAATAAAAATAACAACCAGTTTCCCTTAAAAGACAACAGTTATTTTCAGGTGATGTGTATGTAATATAGCATTAACAAGCATATGAGCTATAAATAAATAATGTTGGAATATTCTTTTAAAGGATTTATTACAATATAGCTGGACTAATAATTATAGTTATGGGAGTATATATATATATAATAAAAGCAACAATCAATTTCTCTTAAACAGGGTAAGGAAGTGTATTTAATATAGAAGCGAGTCTGTACAGTAGTTATAGTCTGCTATAGTTAACACTATTGTAATTAGTTCAAAATAAAAAAAATTAGCTATAATTCTATCAGTTATATTAGTTATATTTCAAGATATAAATATGAAAATACTTATAATTAACATATTAGAAGTAATAAATTCAATGCAAACAACTGGTATTCAATTAAACTATACAATCAATTGTTATTTATCCTACCATAAAATAATTTTTTTTTTAAACTAAGAAATTAAGTTATCCATGCAATTTAATTTACTGATCAGGGTACTTAATATCCAATTTATATCAATATCAAACACGTCATACAATCTTCATGCATTTCAGCTGCTTAACAATTCAAATTGCTGAAATTTCGTAGTCTAGTTCCAAATTTAATTTCAATATAAGGAAAGTTTTTTTTTTTTTTTTTTTTTTTTTTTTGCGAAGATAGTTTCGGGATGAAAGAAAGTTGTTTAACGACCAGACTATCCTAACTTTTCAATAAAAAAAACTGGTGTGAGGAAAATCAGAGGTCGGGTTGAACTAGTTTTGCAGTAGAACGTCTTCTCCGTTAGCTTTAATCAGCCCAGAGGGCATGCTTCAGTGAGAAGTCACTTTCCATTTGCATCTGTGAGCAAAACACAGCGGGTGTTTCCCATTTCAGAGGTAACTTTGAGCACCTGCTCGGATCCTATTTTTAGTAATGCATTCCTATTCATTTATCATTGATCTTTTCAATAGTCCTATTTCATATTCTGATAATGAAAGTGTGCTCCTTTTAACCTGGCCTCAAATTATAAATTTACTCTGAAATGATCGTCCATTCCTGTGGAAAGCAGGGTGGGGTTTAAGATCCTAGTAATTCCATGTGTCCCTTGAAGTATCGGGGGTGTGCACGTATTTTTTTTTTCTGCCTTATATCTCTGAATACCTTAATTTCATTAATGAGCATTTGAAACTGTAAATTATATTAATGTGCCAAAATTGTAATTATCAAAAAACTATCAAACGTAACTATAACTCACAATTGTAATTTTTTTTCCAAAAAATCACAACGGCTTTAATTAGCTGCCTAAACTTCACAAAGACATTCTATTCAATACAGAGAGGTCGGTATAAGCATACTATTTTATAGACATACTATTCAGTATAAGACATATTATACAGGACATACTATTTAGTATAGACATATTATACAGGACATACTATTCAGTATAGACATACTATTTTATAGACTAAGACATAATATTCTGTAGATTACTTGATATAGGCCTACTGTTAGGCATATATTCTCAGATATATATTATATAAAAGACATGCTCAGACGGATTTTGATGAATTTTGGTTTCTCCTTTTGAATTTCAAAAGTGTTTCTGTAATATCTGTAAAAATGAATGTCATTATAACAAGTTTTCTATACGAGTAAAAACTGGCCGCAACCACTGATGATATATGCCAAAAATTATCCACACCATAAAATGTGAATTTAATAAAATGCATAACACAAAGGCGATTTAGCCATTTCCATTTCGATAGCTGCCTTATGGCCAAGTGGCCAGCGCTCTATCCTTTGATACTACTCCAGGGTCCAGGATTTAATAAAAAAAAAACCTTATTCTATGAAAATTCATACATGGATCCGAATTAAAGTCCAAATATATACTAACACTTTATCAAGAAATAAATTTGAAATGGTATGTTCTTTAGCTTAAAATATGAATTCTTCGCCAACTTACATAAAAAAAACTCGAACAATTTCAGCTTCATATATTTTTTTTTTAGGGAAGTATCAAAATCACTTTGGTTTTTCTAATTTGCTCTGTTTTCTAAAACTTTTTCTTTTTTTTAGAGCTCTTATTTTTGTTTTATACGTGTTCTAATTCTACTATAAAGGATACGACCTTCGGTGAGTTAAACTTTAAAGATAAAGCCATTTTCGTATGCAAGGTGCTTTGACCAATGTCATTCACCGTTAGGACAACAAAGAGTTAAAAAGTTCAACGATACCATGTTGAATTGCAGAAGAAACTTCCACCCTAAGGAAATATGACTTCCCTGGCATCAGAGCTTTCGGTTAGCTGATATTCAAAAACACAACAGTTTAATTGAGAACCCAAATGCTCTATCCAGCAAACCATTCCAGCCCATATATATAAATACAGTAATATGTTGTTGTTGTTCTAATGCAGCTGTCAATACAGAGACAGTTAATCTTTATGTCATAAGCAAGGATTGCACCACTGTTACTCATTTAGCACTATCCAGGGGACAAATGTAGCTTGAAGATATGCTACAGACGCGAGTAACACTACCCCCACAACTCTCTACTATTATATTAGACTGGGACCTATGGTTTAAAGTGGATTCCAAACCCCTACAATCATGTTTGGCGCCGCCGGTACTCGAGCCCGAAACCGATGGTATCGAGCGTCAGAGAGTTAGCCACTCCTCCATCAGGCACCTGGTCTAATATGACCCCTACTACTACTATAGCACACCACATCACTTTGCCTACAGTTGAGCTGCCCCTTTACAGTTTGGCAATGATGTGGGTGAGAGAAGTCTGATTTGGTTCCGTGACGTTCTTACAGTCATACGAGACCGGGACCGCTGGGACTCGAGGCCGAAACCTGTGGTACCGAGGGCCAGAGTGCTAGCCACTTGGTCATCAGGCCCCCTCCTAAATAATACAGTAATATTTATCTTTAAGAAACGCTCTGCCTTTGTTCCAAATACTTTCACTATTCCTTTGGATATCGAGCCTCGCAGTTAAACCGGAACTGGCTCTAACCGGAACTGGCTCTAATCGGAACTGGCTTCAGCAGGTCAAACGTAAAACTCGACTATTCCTGAATGAAATCGTAGTAGACTTTCATTGATCATTCTTTTTCCAATGCATGGAGGCTATTCCGGCCGTACATCACTCACCGCCCTCAATCACAGTGACTGGTAGCAATGACACTAAAACGACAACTCAGACTTGTCAGGCAGTTGGCAGACCCGTGTCTCCTGACACTTGAATGAGACCACTTCGCCAGTTTCTTTGTCTGAACCGACTTTCATTGTTCGCCTCGACAAGGTCGTTCGAATACGTTATTCCGTGTCCTGTATTCGCTTTGACCGAAAGTTTGTATCGGTGGAAAAACTTTTATGAATGGAACAGCGTAGTAAAAAAATAAAGAGGGTGATTTAATGTGTGGTAGCGTGTCCCGTAAAAAAATTGGGGGATTTTGTTTTTTATGACGCTGGTTAAGTTTTATCGAAGAAAAGGCAAATAAAATTATCCTGGATTGTCTAATTTGCGCAAGTTTGGCATGAGCCCTATGGCAATGTGTTCGAATTTGGGTGCTTTGCAGGAATTTTATTTTGGTATAAACCTAGAAATGTCTACTATGGTAGGATAATAATATGCGGAATATATATATTGTGTTTTTTTTCCCTGTGATGTCACTGTGTTAAATGACTTTTCTAATCATGATAAAGGTAGAATTATATTTGATATTTCCTACCTTTTTTGGCCCTTTTGGAATTTGAATGAAGTCATACTGATAAAATTTCGTTCTTCATCGTTTTCGTCTTTCATTCTTTTTAAAAATTCATTTCGTAATTTTTGATTTGAACACAAACTTTTGTAGGACCAAATAGTTTACATATTCTTGTGCTTTAATTAAATTGAAGATGGAATGCCATCAACCTGTGATTTTCATTTATTTTATTCATACCCATTCCCTAAGTAAGGAAACATTTCCTTAACAGCTATGTTCAATAATTAAATTTATACATTTTTTCTTTTTATAGCAGCTGATAAACACTTAGACAGTTGTCTTTGATGTCTTAAGGCAAGCGCTGCACCGACGTTACTCACTTATTACTACCCTCGAGGAGCGTGTAGCTTGAAGATAAGCTACGGACTCCGAGTAATAATATCCCCGCAACGCTCTACGATCATGTTAGACCGAGACGTACGGTTTAAAGGGATTCCGAACTCTTACAAACATCCATAGCACAGCCGGGACTCGAAACCGAAACCTGTGGTACAGAGCGCCAGCCACTCGGCCATTAGGCCCCAATTAAATTTGTATTTTATAAAATATTTATTTAGTTTATGTTGTTGTTGTTTCTTATCCCACTTGGCTGGCCAAGCCCACGAGCCCATATGGACTCATGATTGAAGGGGAAGGAAGCAGCTTCTGTTGTGATGGAGCACCCGTAGGTAGAAGCCTGACTTTTGCTTCGTGACGCTCTTACAGTCATAGAAGACCGGGACCTACGGCTTAAAGTGGATTCCGAACCACTACAAACATCCATGGCACAGTAGGGATTCGAACCCGAAACCTGTGGCACCGAGCGCCAGAGCGCTAGACACTCGGCCATTCAGGTCCCAAATTTGCCAACGGCACGCAGTGTTCCCAGGTGGTCACCCACCCAAGTACTGACCGCGCCCAATGATGCTTAACTTTAGTTTATTATACCTATAAACAACAAGTGAATTACACCGTATTTTGACGTCCTGCAGTCATATGACACCGGGACCTGCGGCTTAAAGTGGATTTCGAACCACTGCAAACATCCACCTCACCGCCAGGACTCGAACCCGAAACCTGGGGCACCCAGCCCCAGAGTTTTAGATACTTGCCAATATTCGCGCGGCCTGATGGCCAATTGACAAGAGCTCGATTTTCGAATTCTGGATGTGCAGTGGACATTTGTTAGTGGCTCAGAATCCATCTTAAACTGTAGGTCCCAGTCTAATTAGTCTGAAATAAGAAAAAAATTACCGTAGAGCGACAAACCAACAGCATAAGTACATAATCTTTTTGTATATCCTGATAAGAACATGCACGTCACTAGGGTAAGTTTTATCTATTGGTAATTTTAACATTTATTGTGCAATTGTTATTAAATAAGGTTTAGTTATTACTAAATTTCAAGACTTTAGAAGGTCTAGAAATTTTAACCATTTCATTATCTGCGTAGATACGCTACTTCATTTTTTATAAAAACTATTAATTTTTGCATGGCACTTTGGCCCTTTTTTTATAAAATAATTTTTTTTCCCTTTTATTCTCTGATTCGCGGAATTAAAGTTTCTCTTTATTAAATGCAATTATTTCAACATTTCTTGAACTATTACATAAAAATAGTTTATTGATGATTTACTTCCTTTTTTTTCGAAACATAAAATCTTTAAATTTGTAATTCATAATAATTTAATAATTTAATTAATTTTAAAAAATTATAACAGTTCAACGAACCTTTTTATATGTCAATATCTATAGAATAGCAAACAAAACTATTGTTAACAGAGAATTTCTAGATAGCTACAGATTTTCCTACAAGAAATTCAACTGTAAAAAATAAAAAATACAATAAAACTAACAACACAACTCAAGGCTGTAATTGACACAAATTATTTTTCACTTTTAAAGGAAATATTGTAAACCTTTATAAACTTCCATTCTTACAATAATAAGCATTAGAACCTTAAAGGTAAAATTCAAGTACAATTTCTACACTCTTTTTTTGCCTACAGTATCAAAACACTTTCAATGGATGTTTTATGACTGTGTGAATATTTTGAAGTCTGCAAAAAAAAGAAGTTTAAATTTCAATCAAGGGGACATTGATTCTTCTAATTGAAATCCCACTAACTCATTCCACTGACAAGGAAACTCAGGGAAAGCTCAGTAAATCATTACTGGAAGAGTCTCCGGGGCTGGGGAAGGGCTCTCAGACGGGTAAGTAAACCGGGCCCACTGATCCGAGCCATTAGACAACTAATAACTAGAAAAGAAAAGACTCGTAAATACGGGCGAGGAGCTAATTCGAGCGACTGTCACGCTTTGTCAAGCGCGGGATTCAGAGAATTGTGTAACGACGAACGAAAATTTCATCTCGTGATCTTTTAAAAGGTTTGGCAAAAGTTTTAAAAATATTTTATGATTACAGAATTCTTTTTATAATTTTCGGAACTATTAGCGATTTTTTTTACAATTACAAATAGATTTTATACTTTACCTAACAGGTTTCCTTTTCTGAAACTGTCTCTAGTCATTTTTGGGAAGGTCGTAAATCTTTTGATGAATCATAAACTTGCAACAGGCTAAGTGGTAGTTCTTCTCAAAAAGCTGACGGACTGATGGCAAATTGGCTAGTTCTCTGGCCTTTCGCACCACAAACATCAGGTTCGAATCCTGGCGGGGGCATGGATGTGTGTTAGGGGTTCGGAATCTCCGTTAAACTGTAGATCTCGGTCTAATTAGCTCTCTTATGTATAAAATGACCGTAGAGCGACAAACCTAACCAAATCTTCAATGGCACAACAGTGCCATGGTGGGCAAAGGCTGTCTGCCTACTGGCAGATTTTGAAACATGTGAAGCTTTTCTTTTTACAGGGTAGGGTTTTCATCCCTGCGTCCAACTCTTTATAGACATATTAGACAGGGAGCTACGGTTCAAAGTGGATTCCGAACCACTGCAAGCATCCTTGGTAACGCCAGGATTCGCGATATTTTATGCATACTTTGTCACAATATCCGTTAAGTTTTTCCTAGTTTCTGAAAACAGGGTCCTGAATGGCCGAGTGGCTTGCGCTCTGGCGCTCAGTGCCACAGGTTTCAGGTTCGAGTCCCGCCATGGATACTTGTAGTGGCTCGGAATCTACTTTAAGCCGTAAGTCCCGGTCTCATATGACTGTATGAGTGCCACGAAGCCCAGTCAGACTACTCTCACCTACATTATTGCCAAACTGTAAAGGGGCAACTAGGCTTAGGCACAGTGATATGGTGTGGTGTAGTAGTAGTAGTAGTAGTAGTAGACGTTCGGAATCCATGTTGAACTGTAGGTGACAACAGGCTAAGTGGTAGTTCTTCTTCCCAGAAAGCTGATAGAACTGTAGGTGACAACAGGCTAAGTGGTAGTTCTTCTTCCCAGAAAGCTGATAGAACTGTAGGTGACAACAGGCTAAGTGGTAGTTCTTCTTCCCAGAAAGCTGATAGAACTGTAGGTGACAACAGGCTAAGTGGTAGTTCTTCTTCCCAGAAAGCTGATAGAACTGTAGGTGACAACAGGCTAAGTGGTAGTTCTTCTTCCCAGAAAGCTGATAGAACTGTAGGTGACAACAGGCTAAGTGGTAGTTCTTCTTCCCAGAAAGCTGATAGAACTGTAGGTGACAACAGGCTAAGTGGTAGTTCTTCTTCCCAGAAAGCTGATAGAACTGTAGGTGACAACAGGCTAAGTGGTAGTTCTTCTTCCCAGAAAGCTGATAAATGAAATTGCATACATTCAATCCAAACAGCAGCAAACCGGTTTGGTGTGCGATACTCAAAAGTTAAGGAGGACACGGCTCAATAATATTTGTATAATTTAAAACTGTTAGCAGATGCAGATTGAAATCCAAATGCAAGCTCCGTCATCTCCCTTTATGAGACAAAGTCTAGTCGCCTTTCGAAAGGTCGTAAATCCTCTGAAGACTCATAAACTGATAACAGGTTAAGCGGTAGATCTTCCATGAAGCTGGAATAAGATTTGATAAGTTTCGCTCATTCTTTGAGAGCATTTAAAATACTTCCTGACCTACATATTTATTAGGCCAATATCCGGCAGTAGTATCAGAATTTTTGTTTTGGCATTGCTTGTTTATTTTATCACTTCTGAAACCCAATTTATCACTTTTGAATTTGTTTATTTATTTATTTGAAACCCAATCGTGCTATCTTTCACTAATCGTGCCACTCATCAATTTAACAGAATTCTACTCAGTTGCGCTTACATAGTTATCCAGAATAACACTATGTGTTATTAATTATTATAGCAGTTGTGCTTCATGCTTAAATGCTCAGTTAAATATTTTCGCTTACAACTTTCAAAGGATTTAATGAGAGATAAATAATAGATCCCAGAAAATGCACTATTTTACACTAACGTCTCAATTTATATTATATCTTGTAATTATTTTTAATAACAGTTGTAAAAAAAATCAATTACTTATAGGCTATAATGACTAAATGCTGAATTATTTAAAGTTTCCATTCTTCTTGTTCAATGAGACGAAATATTATAGATGTCACAATGTTTTTCTTAATGAAAATAAGCAATAAAAGTAATTGAAGTTAAAAAGATTAGAAAAAAGGTGGTCGATTGCGCTGCAAGCTTATGTTATTTGTCATATGATAGTGTCACTGGATTTAACCTAGATTAATGAAATTGCATTGTTCACCCTTTACACATTTGTGAGCCTCGTGTTCACGTTTACGTATACCATGAAGATCCTACCAATGAGTGATGAAGGGATAACATCAACGCGAGAAATTGCCCCACATTAGAGTGTTTCAGAGACAACGCGGAAAATACCCACCAAGCAAGATGACTGCCGATGCCTGAGACTTATAAATGCTGTCTCAATCCTCCCAGTGTCTGAGAGCAGCGACTTCGACAGCTGCTTGTTCATTTTTTATACATTTGTGAGCCTGTTGTTCACACTTTATCATGGAGATCTCACCAATGAGTGATAAAGAGATAACGTTAACGGTAGGACGTTCCCCACATTAAAGTGTTTGAGAGATAACACGGAAAACTCCCACCAAGCAAGGTGGCTGTCGATGCGGGAGACTTATAAATGTTGTCTCAATCACAACAGTTACTGGGAACAGGGGCTTCAGCGGATGCTTGTTCATCTTTTATACATTTGGGAGCCTTGTGTTCTTACTAACATACGTCATGAAGATCCCACCAATGAGTGATGCTGTGGTAACGTTAACTGGTGGACGTGTCCTACATTAGAATGTTAGCGAGATAATACGGAAAACTCCCACCATGCAAGGTGGCTGTCGATGCCTCGTGTTCACAATTATGTATACCGTAAAGATACCATCAATGGGTGATAAAGGGATAACATTAGAAGGAGAATGTGCCTCACATTAGAATGTTTCAAAAACAACAAGGAAAACTCCCACTAAGAAACGGGACTGTCGATGTGAGAAACTTATAAATATTGTCTCAATCGCCACAGTTTCTGAGAGAAGTGACGTCAGCAGCTTCTTGTTCACACTTACGTATATCATGAAGATCTTACCAATGATTGTTGAAGGAATGTCATTGGCCCTTTATTGGTTATTATCATTGGTCCTTTATTCGTTATTATCATTGGTCATTTATATTATCATTGGTAATTTATTGGTTATTATCAATGGGCCTTCATTTGAGCTCATAAAATAGTTTCTCTTCATACAATTAAGTGATATTGTTTTTCAAACTATACAGTTAAAAAGACGAGTCTGATTTGTGATCCAATGTTAATTTGGTCAGATAGCAAACAACAGAGGTAAAACTCAATTCTGATGGTGGTGTTCTAGTCACTGCATTCAGAAACTGATAGATTTAATAAATATTGTGACACTGAAGGTAAAATCCAGCATCATCAGTTGTAGTGCGTGGAGAGAGTTGTCCGGATTTTCTTCCAAA